TGTGACTGAAGTATCAAATTGACAAGAACATTGCTATCTCGTGAAAAAGCTTCGGCAAATAAAAATTTCACCATGAACAATATATGGGTGAAAAACGCTTGTCCTGCCAATCATGGCCTCATTCCTAAGGTAACCAGCGCTGCATAAACAAAGAACTAAAACAATAAGTCATGAAGGAGTGAGCACAGTTACATTTCCAAGAAACCATCCACAATAGTTTTAACTGCACGTGAAATGATGTCATAAGAAAAAGCAGGAATTTGAGATTCTGGTTAAGAGGAAGCACATGATAAAACAACATTAACCTGAAATTGAAAATAGAACAAGGTGTCGACTGGAGATCTCAATACATTTAACTAGGAAAAAAATTATGTACTTAGCAAATGACAATTCAAATAAACTGGGAACTAAAGGCTTGATTAATTGTGACTAGCTAACTAACGGACCACAAACACCAAAGACAGTCTACTGGAATCATGAGTCGAATGTTATAGATACCATACCATATTCCGGTTAATGAGCTTATTCCCTCTCATTCTCGCTCATGTCACCCACATAAAATATTGAATTCTCATTATCGCTCATCTCATCTAATCCGAAAGTTCTTTCAGGTACTGCATAAACCAATTTAGAAAGAGAAAGAGATGATGTCATCAGAATAGCATTTACAAGGTTCATGGGTGATTAATGCAAGGGAAATCAACTGATGGAAAAATGCAAAAATGCAAAAATATCACCTGGCGGCATACCTTATCTAGAGAAGCTAAACTGATCCATGTAATCCAGAAAAAGAGGATCGAACCCAAAAGTTTCTCCAGGTACTGCACAAACAAATTTACAAAGAGATAGCATTTACAAGGTTCATCGGTGATTAATATAAGGTAAATTGACATATATTCATTAAAAAAATGCAAAAATTAGAATAACACTTATCATACAAGTACGGAAGAGATAAACCTTTAGCCTCTTTCTCTTTTTTTTTTTGGTAAGCCACAAAAACCTGTAAAATCGAGAATTTAACAGTTTGTCTTACGAGGAGAACACCCTACTTGAAATTGCATATGATAACAATAATTTGGAATAAACAAATACCAAAGTTACCAAATATCTTGAGACAAATGCCTCATCATCATTCCATGTGTGGAATAAAAGGCCAATTTGTCTTGCAAGGACAAACCTCACCCAATAATCCGAGTCATTTAGCATTAGTAAAAAGTCTCAATCATTGTCTCTACAAGTTAAAACAGAAATTCCATGAGTTATATAACAAGAAACAAAATTATATCCAGAAAATCGGCTGATATCCAAAAAAAAAAATGAAAAATGAGAACAAAACTTGTCTTAAAAAGAAATCTTGAGCCTCTTTCTCTTTTTCGGTAAGCCACAAAAATCTGTAGAAACGAGAATCTAATAGTTTGTCTTAATTGGAGAACACCCTACTAAAAAGGCATAGAAGAATAACAATAATTTTGAATAAACAAACACCAAACTTACCAAATATCTTGGAACAGTGCCTTATGACCATCACCTGCCTGGAATAGGGTAGAGCATTTAACTGTAATTGGCAGATGTCAAGTAAACTAAACCATGAAATAGCAAAAACCTTTTCGCTTCAAGCAAAAACATTAGTGTGAACATAAATATTGCATATACCAGTTCTTCATGTTTAAGGAACAAGTGGGTTATATGAGAAGTAGGCACCTGACCAAGGACTAAGCAAGGCAAGATCACAATAAACAATTGATAAACCTCACCCGCCCAAACCACACTACAAGAAAAAACAGTTTTAGCATCGAAATTTACGTCAGATTTGTGTCGACGCAAAATTAGCGACGATTTTGCGTCGTTTTTGTGTCGTTCAAACCATTCGACGCAAATTTGACGCAAAATTGAGACGAAAAATAGCGACGCTAAATCGACGCTAATTTAGCGTCGATTTAGAGTCGGTCCTATAGCGTCGGTTGTAGCGTCGAATATTCCGTCGAACTGGGTAGGTAGGTCGCACGTTTTTAATGGGTTCACCTACTTCTATAAAACCGATGCTAAATCGACGTTAATACGAAGCAAAGTCGACGCAAAATAATTCGATGCTAATTCGATGCTAAAATGCGATGCAAATTCGAAGCAAAATCGCTGCTAAATGTCTTATATATACTTCCCCAGATCGCTCCCCAAACCCAAAATTATTGAAGAAAAAAAAAATCTTTCAATAAATTTTCTTAGTTAATATTTTCTGAATAAGATGGGCGA